AGCTCCTAAAGCCCCTAAAGCCCCGAAAGCCCCTAAAGCCCCGAAAGCCCCTAAAGCCCCTAAAGCCCCTAAAAACCCTAAGGCCCCTAAAGACCCTAAAGCCCCTAAAGCCCCTGAAGCCCCTAAAGCCCCTAAAGCCCTTAAAGCCCCATAAAGCCCCTAAAGCCCCTAAAGCCCCTAAAACCCCTAAAGCCCCTAAAGCCCCTAAAGCCCCTAAAACCCCTAAGGCCCCTAAAGCCCCTAAGGCCCCTAAAGACCCTAAAGCCCCTAAAGCCCCTAAAGCCCCTAAAGCCCCTAAAGCCCCTAAAGCCCCTAAAGCCCCTAAAGCCCCTGAAGACCTTCACGCGAGTGGGGGGGGAGAGGGAGGAGGGAGGAGCAGGGGGAGCAGGCTGAAGTCCCAGCGCCGTAGCTGATGGGCTCCAGTTTCGCCTCCCACATCCCGCTGAGCAGCGCCAGAGCCCGGCGCCACGGCCCGCGTCTCTCGCACGCGCTGGCCGGAGCGCTTTAACTGATGACGTCGGGCTCCAGCTTCGCCCCGCCAATTTCTCTGAGCAGTGACAGAGCCCTGTGCCACCGCTCGCCTTCCCCACACGCGCCAGCTACATCGTACTGGTCATTATCATCCTCCTCATCATCACCATCACCACCGCCGCCATCATCATGATCATCATCATCATCATCTTCATCATCAGTTTGAGGAGGCTGAGAATATCCCATTGTTGTAGCTGATGACATCGGGCTCCAGCTTCGCCTCCCGCGTCCCGCTGACCAGTGCCACAACCTGCTGCCACTGCTCGCCTCTCTCGCACGCGCTGGTCGAAGCGCATTAGCTACGGTGGAGGCATTGGATAAGGAAACCTTGGATAAGGAATCCAGGGTCTGGAAACCAGTGGAACTCCAATTGTTTTTTTTTCTTCGCATTCGCCAGACCGCAGGTCTCGAAAAACCCGGTCTTAAGTAACATTTCCGGCCTGGCCCCTGGGCAATAATTGTCTCGGGTGCTCTTTCGCTGTCCCTGCCAACGAAAGGAGGAAATCAGAGGAGGATGGAGGAGGAATATGAACAACAGAGAACGGAGGGCGATAGGGAAGTGAGGGAGAGGGGGGGAGAGGGAGGAGGGAGGAGGAAGAGGGAGCAGGAACAGGGAGGAGGGGAATGAGGCGGACGAGGTCTCGGGACTGTAGCTGAGGACATCGGGCTCCAGCTTCGCCCCCCCACATCCCGCTGAGCAGCGCCAGAGCGCAGAGCCGCAGCTCGCGTTTCTCGCACGCGCTGGTCGAGGCGCTCCAGCGGATGACATCGGGCTCCAGCGTCGCCCCGCCCATCTTGCTGAGCAGTGAGGGGTATCCAACGGGGGGGGCGGGTACGATTTGTTAACATCGACTCCTCCTCCTCCTCCTCCTCCTCCTCGGCCTCCGCCTCCGCCTCTATGTCCTCTATGTCCTACAAGAACGAGTTCCGCAGTTACCCTTGGCAGGCCGGGCCAGTTTCCAAGGGACCTTGGGAAGCAAAGCCCTGGAAGGCCACGAGACCAGGTTCAAACAACACGCCTCCGCCGAACCCCCGGCGCCCCCTTCTCGGGGGCCGGCCACAGAAGTGGGCTCGAAGGCCCCCCCAAAAAAAAAGAATTGCCTTTCGAGCCCACTTTCGAGAACGTCATAAGGAAGGGAGGGAGGAAGGGGAGGAGGGGAGGAGGCGAGGAGGAACAAGAGGGAGAAAGGGGGGGAGGGAGGAGTTCGGATCTCCCAGAGCTGTAGTGATGACGTCGGGCTCCAGCTTCGCCTCCCACATCCTGCTGAGCAGCGCCGCAGCCCGAGGCCGCAGCTCGCCACGGAACGCTGCCACTGCTCACCCCAGTCCCACGTCGTGACCCCAGCCCCTTCGACGGCTTGAATCACGATGGCCCCCTCCGTAGCTGATAACGTTGGGCCCCCAGCGCCACAGCCCGAGGCCACAGCTCGCCACGGCGCGCTGCCACAGCTCACCCCACTCCCACGTCGCGACCCCAGCCTCCTCGATGGCTTGAATCACGATGGCCCCTTCCGTAGCTGATAACGTTGGGCCCCATGCTGGCACTCTCGATGGCTTGAATCACGATGGCTTGAACCACACTTGGCTTGAGCCAGACTTGAGCCAGGCTTGAGCCAGACTGGCTTGAACCAGAGAAAAGGGCCACACTTTGTTGCCATAGGTCTGCTGCAAGTGCAAGCTCATTGGCCAAATGTCACAATCTTACCACCACCAGCCGAGAACATAAATTGCTCTGGGATGCCAGTGCAAGGGACGTCTGTCGGACAAACCGGTGGGGGTCCACAACAAATCAAACAGTGCAGCGGAACCAGGCCCAGAGAAGCGGGCCACACTTTGTTGCCATAGGTCTGCTGACAGCGCAAGCTCAGCGGCCAAAGGTCAGAGTCTTACCACCACCACCAACCGAGAACATAAATTGCTCTGGGATGCCAATGCAAGGGGCGTCTGTCGGACAAACAGTTGGGGGTCCACAAATCAAACAGTGCAGCAACCTACAATCCGAAGGCCTCCTGATGCCTTCAGGGCAAATAAATCGCACCCGATTCGCAAGCCTCAGTTATCCCACTTGGTGGGATTGCTCCTTTGCAGTGAGCTGTGTTGCTATACAAGAAGTCCGCGTGGCAATCTAAACGGTCGCCTATTTTTGCTTCTGTCCTGCACGCCGCGGCTTCACATCGGCGTTTCCACGACCATGACATTTGATAGTCCATTTCGGCACGTACTTCACACCGTGGCTCCACATCGGCGTTTCCAAAACACATGGGGCACATTGTTCTTTCATAAACCCTTTTCGGCACGACCTTCACACCGCGGCTCCACATCGGCGTTTCCAAAAGGCAGGGGGGGGCATTGTGGGATTCGCCACAGGAGTCTTCCATAGGCAAGCAGGCCCAACCACGACCCTCACACCGTGGCTCCTCATCGGCGTGTCCAAAAGGCAGGGGGCCCGGGGCGGGTTTCGCCGCAGGCGTCTTGATATTTGTTTTGTCACCTGTCCTAGCTGACGCTGGTGTCGCCGCCGCTCGCCATCGAAAGTCTCGCGACTGCTGGCCCCTAAGCCGTGACGGGGCCAGTCTTAGAGTAGCTTCTCTTGAAATTGGGCAGGCCGCCCCTCCCGCCCGAACACAGCCGCCGCTCCCGCCCGACCTCGGGCCTGCGGCGGACGGATCCTGCCCGGGGGAGGGTTCGGACTGGGAGGGGGGACTGGCAGGGAGGACTGGGAGGGAGGACTGGGAGGGGGTTCTGGGGGGGGGCTCTGGGAGGGAGGACTGGGAGGGGAGAAGCCGCGCCGCTCACCTCTCCTTCTCCAGCTCTGGATCGGAGAAGAGATCGTCCTTCTCAGGCGGCGCGGCACCGCCGCTGTCCGCGGCGGCGTTCCCGCTGGAGGCGGCACCTGGTACTGGCGACAGCTGACTGAGCACGAAAACGTGCCTCTTGTTAGCCTGGGGGCCGAATAGCTTCATAAACCCAACTGGCGGGTGGGGGGGCGCCAGGGGGGGGAAAGCAAGCTTCCCCCCTCTGGCGCCCCCCTCTCCGCTACAGTCAAAACTCATAGTCAGGGCGCGCGGTAAGGAGTAAGGTCGCGCGGTAAAAGGACGCAAGACCGTTGGAGGCCGAATTTGGGTATTCTGGACTTGAAATTCCCTAACGATCCCAACCGTAAGACGCAAAAAAAGAAAAAAAAAACATAAAAAAAAAAAACAAAAAAAACAAAAAAAAAAGACAAAAAAACACAACAAAAAAAAAAAAAAAAAAAAAAAAAAAAAAAAAAAAAAAAAAAAAAAAAAAAAATAAAAAAAACACAAGAAAAAAAAAAAAAAAAAAAAAAAAAATTAAAAAAAAAATAAGAATAAAAGCAAAAAAGACAAGAAACAAAAAAAAAAAAATCAAAAAAAAAAAAAAAAAAAAAAAGGACGCAAGGCAAAATTTAAGGACGCAAGGGCACCCTTGGAAAGTCGTTCGTCCTTACTATGAGTTTAGACTGTAATTACTGCCCACTTCGCCCCAACGAGCTCCTCCGAACCCTCCAGGAGCTTCACGCTGCAGGCCGTGTTCGCCTTCACCAGCGAGACGACCTGCCCCTTTTTGCCCTCGTACTTCGACTTGTCCTTCGTGAGCTTGCAACTGCAGATCACCTCGACGCCCGGCTTGAGCCAGTCGAGCGGGTCAGTCTGGCCCTCGGTCTTCGCCTTCTTCGGGTCGGGCCCTGCCTGGCCCTCCTCGGCGGCCCTCTTCTTGCCCTCGCCAGCCGGGCTGTCGGCCTTCCCCTTGTCGGCCTGGGCCTTTCCCGCTTTGTCCTTCTCCTCTTTCTCCTCCTTCTCCTTTTTCTTGGTCTCCAGGCGCGCGCGCTCTAACTCCAAGCACTTCTTCGTGAGAGGGGGCGCGGCCGTGACGTCCCTGCTCCTCCAGAGAGGCCAGAGGACACCGCCCGCTTTCTCGATGACCCCGTCCTGCGGCACCTCGGCGCCCGTGTTCTCGCACGAATCGGCCCCCTTGAGCTTGTACCTACTACAACTAATACGCCTCTTCCTAATACTTTTTGTTTTTTTTTTCGTCCGGAATTCAACGCTACCACCTTTTTGTCCTCCGCCAAGACCGTTGAATTCCGGACGAAAACCAACGCCTCTTCCTAATACTATTCCTCCTGATATGCCTAACACTACTACAATTATTCCTGACACTACGACCCCTTCAACTACCACTACTACTACTACAACTACTACTACTACTACTACTACTACTACTACTACTACTACTACTACTACTGCAGCTACTACTACTACTACTACTACTACTACCACTACTACGACTACGACTACGACTACGACTACTACCACCACTACTCTTACTACTACCCTCCCCTCGGTGGCACGAGACGGTCTCGCGGAAGAGCCGGTCCCGCGCGGGCTTGTCCGCCACGGCCTCCGTCAGGGGGTGCCACATCTCGCACAGCCTCACGACCACGGGGTTCAAGTGGGAGGCAGCCTGGGCGAGGTCGCTCGGCGGCACCGACGACGCGGCGGCCACGACGTCCTCCACTGAGGTTTCGGCCCCGGGCACGAGCTTCGCGAACTTCGTCGCCGGGCTCTTCGGCCACCACGTCTCCAGCATGGACCACCCCGTCTCCCCCAAGCCCTGCAAGTACTCCACCTGGCCACCGAGCGACATGGACGGCGACAAGACGCTCATGCCGAAGTTGTACTGGGCCTTCACCTCCTCAGTCATCTTGCCCTCGCCGTCGATCTTGTCGAACTGGCTCTGCATGCCCGCCAACTCACCCCGCCTCTCCTTCGGGTCCTTCCCCGCGTCCCCGCGGACCTATCGAAGGAGCAAACTCGGCACGAACATGACCTTCCGGATTTCCGCGCAGATTTCATGGATCAGCCTGGGGCGGCGCTGGAGGCGCCGCCCAGGGGGCCCAGCGCTGATCCAAGACATCCGCGCGGAGCTCCGACAGTTTATGTTCATGCCGATGTTCCTCCTTCGAACCTTCTCCAACTTCTTATCAAAACGCCTCCTCATCCACTGCTTGTACAAGGGTGCCGAATCGAACTCGTTCTGCTCGTCCAAGTCCAGCGTGCCGTAATTCAGGGGCGTCTCGGTCAGGAAACTGAGCTTGCTCAAATGGATGACCACCTTGCCCGTCTCGGGCACCAGCGCGGGGAGCTTCCCCATCAGCTGCTCCATGGGCTTCACCATGTGAGAAAGATAATCGAGGCTCTCCGTGTTCCGCAGGCGCTTCACGAGGTACCGCATGAAATTGATGGCCACCTTTGGCTCCTCCCCCTGGTTCCACCCCGAGGAGAGCGCAAAGTTCACGAACCGCTGCAACACGTGATGCACGGTGTCTTTGCACATCGGGTCCTCCACGATTTGGGGCGGGGAGGGACAGGGGGAGGAAGTAGGAGGTTGGCATGGATGCTGATACGGATTCGCGCGAGCGGAAGCCACGTGCCCGATAAGTGCAGAGGCGCCCCCCCCGAATGTCCGGGTCGTAGAAGCGCCCTGCCTTCGCGGCCTCCTTCAGCGTGTGAGCCATGCCATTCAAGGTCTTCTCGAGGTTCGGCGGGGGCCGTTCGCTGGAGTCCTCCTCATCGGCGGCGCGCACAAGGGTGCGTAGCGAGGGGGGCGGCCATCTCAGGAGGCAATGGGGGTCCAAGAGGCCACCCCACTCGCGCCACCCCTAGCCGCGCGCCGCCGACCTTCTGCAGCTCTCTGGTTGCCGGCTTCTCCGCGGGCTCGTCGGTGCCCTTCGGCTCGACGGTGGGCGGTGGCTGCTGCGCGCTCGGCGCGCCGCCGACCTCCTGCTGCGGCGCCCGATCGCCGAGCGCGAGCGCTCCGCTGGCGCTCGGGCCCGCCGAGCTGAAATCCATAGTCTCCTTCATCGCCAATTCGAGTTCGCCCGTGTCGATTGGCATAGCCCCCCTGGGTGGACAAGACAATCGCCAGGCCACCACTGAATTCGCATACCTACCGGGGGTTGGTGTCGAATTCTGTAGTGGCCTGTCGACTTTCTTGTCCACGATGCTGAAGTTCTGGATGTCGAAGCCCGCAGGGAGCACGAACATGCTGGGTGGGCGCACGACGCCCGGCGGCAAATCCTGCTGAAGGCCCCCCCCCGGGCCCTTGTCTTCCTCCTCCTCCTCCTACTTCCCCTCCTCCTCCTCCTCCTCGTTTCTCTCCTCCCTCCTTCCCGTTCCCTCCTTGGGGAGAAGCTCTGTCGGGCACACCCAATACGTCTTCTTCACCGTCGCAACTATCGAGAACTTCACCTTGGGGATCAGGTTCGAGAGCTGAGAATCGCCCAAGCGCTTGTGACCCAGCCGCGTGCACGCCATCATGATCTTCAAGACCTCGGGCGCGCTCGCGCCCGAGGTGGAGATGGCGGCTTCCGAAAAAGAGGGATGGGGGACAGGAGGTAGGGGGGAAAGACCTGCTCCCTGGGCGTGCCGCCGAAATTATCCGCCCGCCTGCCCAATTTCGTCTCGGCCTTCTCTCTCTCTGGCGCAGTAAACTCCCCGGCGTCTAGAAGCTGCTGCACGCGCACGGCATCTGGCTCCTTCGGCGGCATGGCTGCCTCCGGCGAGGGAGGGAGAGCAGGAGGCGGAGGGGAAAGAGGAGGAGGAGGAGCAGGAGGAGGGGGAGGATCGAAAGCACAAAAAGCACAAAAAAGCACAAAAAACACAAAAAAAAAAACACAAAAAAACACAAAAACCTCAGAATAACAACTTATGCAATCGTCCTTCGGTGTTCCTCGTATCCCCATTTTTTGTGTTTTTTTGTGCTGTTTTTGTGCTGTTTTTGTGCTTTTTTTTGTGTTTTTTTGTGCTTTTTTGTGCTTTCGGTGAGCCCTGGTGAACTCCCAGTGCGCCTCCTGCGTCCTCGTCCGTCCCCTGCCCCCCTCCCCCGAGAGGCGCTGCCTGGAGCGCGCGGGGCCCGGCTCGACGCGCGGCGCTCTGCAGGCACACGCCGCCACGGCTTGGGCGGCCACGGCTTGAGAGGGGAGCGGCCGACAACGGAGGCGACGCGCGCCCACTGCGACCGCCTACGGGAGCACATCTGGCAGCCACCCCGAGATCAATGTGTCGGCGTCGACACAGCCCGTGCGCCCCCCGTGCCCCAATGCTGCCAGGTCCAGCCGGAGACCGTCCTCAGGGGAGCCAACAGGAGGGGCATTGGCTGATGGTGGGGACGAAGACCTTCCATGGCCGATTCATCGGGGCCCCCGCCAACGAAACAGCACGTTCCTGGGCACGGTGGTGAACCCAACACCTGGACAGCGATGAAGAGGCCATCTGGGGTCCACGCTCCCGCCCCCGAGCCAGCGCCACCCCCGTTGCCCGAAGCTTCCGCTTCGTTCTCGAAAAAACGCCGGCGCCCGCTGCAGTGATCCAGGAACGTCCCTTGCCTCGCACGCCAGATGGCCCAGGCACGGCAGACGGCGTACGAGATCGGGACCCGGGGCTTCTCCTCGCCGAAGGTGCTCGGCGTCACTTGGAGATGCACTGCGTTGCATTGAAATCCTCCTCCACCTCCTTGTCCTCCTCCTCCCCCTGCTCCTCCCCCTTCTCCCCCTCCTCCTCTTCCTACTCCTCCTCCTCCTCCTCCTCCCCATCTTCCCGGGCATAAATGAAAAAGCATCCTGTCCGCGACCACCTGCCAGGTGCTAGGCCCCCGCCTTTGGTCCATCGGGTCTGCGCGGTCACTTTCACGTCGGGCCAAGCAGGGTTGTCTGTCAGGTAGAAGTACGTATTTCGTTCCGGTGGCCACACGTTCCAAGTCCCCGTCTTGGCTCGCGGAGCAGCGCCCCCTTCGTCCTGTGCCGCCTCCTCGGCGTCGGCCGCCGCAACCTCGGGCGCCCCCACAGCGTCCGCGCCGGCCACCCCATCCTCTTCCACTGTGTCAGCGGCGCTCGCGAGGGACAGAACGCTGGACTCATCAGTGTCAGAACCGCCCGCGACATCGTCCCCGTCGCCCTCGGCCTCTTCGCCCTCGTCCACGTCGCCCTCATCAAAGCCGCTGGCAGCAGCTGTACCAGGAGGGCCCCCGACTTCCAAGCGCTTCCAATTCGTCACGGACACTTTGACAGATTCGACAATGAAGTTGGAGCATTGGACATCGATGTGGTAAACCATGGTGTCGGGATCCACGGGGACACTGTCCCTCAAGCAAAAATCACGCAACCGCACGAACTGCTTGTGGAATGCACCAGATAACCGCAGGGTCCTCTTGGCACGATGGCCGTAGATCGGCAAAACCCACGAATCCCGCCCGATGGCAATGTGAAAGAAGATGTGGCGCGCCTCTCCAGCTCGGACGCAAAACCACCCGGGCGCCTGACACCACAAGCGGTCCTGCCAAGGAATGTCGGGCGAGGCGCGCTCAGGCTGCAGTCTCGGAGCTGCGGGGAATTCGCCGTCGGGAACGAGCCTGGCAGCGAGGGCACGGCGCCTCGCAGACGCGTTATCGAAGAAATCCAAAAAGGTTGGGCGGTTCTCCTCAATCCACTTCATCCATTGTGCATTAGTTCCAGGGGTGCCACCCGTGGAATGCGACGCCGCAGCCCTGGCCGCCGCCTTCGCCGCCGCCTGCTTCGCAGCCACAACTCGGTCCAAGTCCTCGCGGTTGGCATCGATGTACGCCTGGATCCCTGGCTCGTCATAGACCAAACGCGGCCTCGCCACTTTGGCGGACGCGGTGACGAAATCTGGACGCCGACTCAAAGTAACTGCCCGAGGGTTCGTGTGCGCCCCCGTCGCGCTCTGCCGGGCCTCCGACGCCGCGATCTGCTGCTCTCGGCGGTGCTTGAGATGCCGACGAATAATGCCGTTGCGGCTGGCTGCGGGCACCGTGGACAATCGAGGTGCTTCGCTCTTTTTGTCTTGGACATGCTTTCCCTCCGCGTTCAAAGTGGTGGCGTGGCCCAGTGTCAATACGGCGTCTATGTCGGCCTGCGTGGAAGGCCCCATCAGGAAGGTTACGGCCGCGGACTCAGAGCCAGTCCGCAGGGCCCGACGTTGAAGCTGAAGAGAGAATCCAACGTCCAATGATTGTTCGGGAATTGCCAAGAACCCCTCGCATTCTTTAGCCCAGCCCGCCCTGTTGAATTGTTTGGAACACTTCCAGAGAGCCGTGGGGTACTGCTCGTACACGGAAAGGCGGGCTACGATGTTTCCCAACGTACCAAGCATCGCAGTCACGGCTGCCGTCGGAGGTAACAACGGGCCATACGGCACGAACGGCAAGATCTCGACGAAAGAACGGCCCGCAGCAGCCTGTATGTCGCCGCGAGACAACTCCACCAAAATGGGGTCCCCAGTGGGATTCTTCGAAGCCTTCCTCATAGCATGGTCTGTGAGTTGAAGGCAAACCGCGGACACCCGCAGGGACTCGGACGTTTGATTGTTGCGCCAAAATGCTTTGACGCGTTGGAGGCGTTTTTGTTGGTCTTTCATCGGCTTCGTCACGGACAGTGTCCAGATATGTTCCGGTATGTTGAACAGTGCGCACAGGAGCATTGAGCGAACGCATTCGGTAAACGTGAAAAAGCGGCTTGTGGTTGGATGTTCGTCCACTAAAAGGATCGATTTTTGTAGCTGAAGAAATACATCTCTGCGGAGAGTGGGCACGTCGACTGCGGCAGGGTTCTCCGAGAAATGCACCATACTGTCAAAAGATTTGTTAAGCAGGAGGACCAGGCTATCTGGCACGGCCGTGGGGCCATACAGCGTCATGAAAGCTCTCACTTTCTCCATGTGCAAAGCTCGTCGGGCAACGTCCATTGGCGCCACTTCCACGCGGTCGCACACCAGACGAAGCAAGTTTGAGGAGAACTCCTCGAAATAGCTGCTGTGTAAATATTTGTACAAACGGACGGCGTTGGCTTGTATCTCGTCGCCCCCATCATTGTTGCTCATGGCAAACTTAATGGATAAATTCACTTGGTGCGTCGCGCACACCCAGAGCAGCATCCGGTAGTGGACCCGGGGGGCGGCTTGCATCCTCCTGGCGGGAAGCGCAAGCAAGGGGAAACGAACCCTCGACTGCGCCTGGATGGGGGCGGGGGGGTGGAGGAGGGGGAGGAGGGGGATAAGGGGGGGGAGAGGAGGGGGCGGAGGAAGGGGATAAGGGGAGGGAGAGGAGGGGGATGGAGGCTGAGGGCCCCCCGACGAGGACGAAGACGAGGAGAGTGATGTATCCCCACGTCCTCCAGAGTATCTTGCAGGCTGCGAGATTGGTGGCAACGGCGTCCCCCGTGATCAAGTGTGCGAGGTGGATATCTGCATCTTCGCCCAACTTTTCCCGCGCCGCCTTCAAGATGATGTCGATCACTTGCCTGTGCGGGAATCATGCGCCCTTGCGTGTTCTGAAGGCCCAGAAGGGACCCCTCACGCGCTTCGTGGCCCCATGTGGGCCCCCCCCAGGATGGAGACGCCAGGGGGCAGGGATTTCCCAATACCCAATGCCACAGCGCGAAGGCAATGCTGGGAGCATCCTTCTTCTGCAGAGGCTGGAGCTCGACGTACAGCGGGGGCGCGGCGCCGCCGATCGTCACGGTGACGCAGTTATTCTGGATTTTGGATGCACGCCCGCGAGCCCGACGCCGAGAGGGCGGAACGGCGGCCACGCCGTCTGGCGCGCAGGCTGCGTTGTAGGACCGCAGCCTGGGGCAGCCAGAACACGCCACCCGCGCGCACGGCCCCTAATGCGCGCCACTGCCATCGGACACACGCGCGCGCGCACGGCCCCTCATGTGCGTTTTTTTGTTGGCACAGCGCGGAAGGAGCTCCCCGCGCGCGCGTTGGGGCTACGCTGGGCAACAGCATCGCGAGTTGCGTGCAATGCTCTGGGGCGGCAGATGGGCAGGGGGCGGCCGCAGAGGAGGGAGGGAGGATAGGACTCTCAGAGGGCCACAATGCAATGTCAGCTAATTAGCACCCACCAGGAGGAAACATGCGCGCACACGATACGAGCGCGCCGTTTGCACCGGGCGCCTCATAGAAGCCTCGTCATGCGTGTGCGACACGTACACTGTGCATTCGGAGGTGGACTGGGCCATCTTCCCGATGTGGTCGCGGTTCATCATCTTGAGCAGCTCGGCGAAGGCGTCCTTCGCCTTGCGGACGGAGCCCGCGCCGATGGCCTGCTGCTCGACGCCGGTGAAGTCAGAGCAGAAGGACGCCACGTCGCGCAAGGGCATGTTGGGCGGCGAAAGCCCTGCCCTCAGAATCCACATGTCCTTGACGCGGCGGCCAGCTCGAGGTCCGGTCTCAGCCTGGGCCGGCCATCCGCCCCTCCGCCTCCCCCGCATCAAAGGCCGCCCCCCCACTACGGACTCTTAAGGGCCTGCCCCATAGACCGCCCCCTTGTCCCCCCAGTAATGGCAAGCAATACAGGATTGCGCTGTCAGCCTCCAAGCGCTCGGACAGCTTCTCACGCACCCGCTTCTGGTGCGACACCCTCATTTGGAGCTTGTGCCGGGCCGCCGGGGTGAACCGGACCGCCCTGCGACCACCGGGGGCTGGTGCATCGAGGGCGCCCTCCTCCTGCATGACGCCCTGCAGACTGCGAGCCGCCGTCGCCGTCCTGAGAAAACAGGGGGTATGGTCACTACGCAGGATCACGGCCACGCACGGAAAGTGCAATGGATAATGGCTTTGTGTTGTGTTTTTTGTTTGAGAACCCCCTGTCCGCGGCCACAGCGCAGCGTCGGGCGAATCCAAAAAAGCCCGCAATGCCGCGCCCACCCTGGCAGCGGACATCGCCCGTCGGAGAAGGGATGTTCAGCCCCGTGGAAGTTCTGGGGGTTCTGGGTTCAGCCTGAGGCCGTGCGCGGTCAGCAACCGGTTGCTTGAAGCCCTAAGAACATGTAAATGAAAGAGTGGGAGAGGGAGCAGGGCGCAGCGAGAGGGCGGGAGGGGACGAAGCGAACTGGATGTTTGTAGAAGCATATGTTGATACACACGTTCCCTCCTGAGTTCGCGCGGAACGACGCGCCACCCTTGAAAGCTCAGCTGGTCTCTAGCACGGGGGGGGGTGAGGGTTGGCAAAAGAGGGTTAGGACACGAAGAAGAGGAAGAATACTCCATTACTCATCTCGTCCCAGTGCTGCGACTGGTGACGGGGCAATCCGAAACCATTCAAAGGCCATCCGAGGCTATTCGAAGCAGTCTCGAAACCATCTGAAAGCATCCAGGCGAGATGAATGCAGGAAGTGGGGAGGCGGACCTGACAGGAGGCAGGACGCAGGAGGGCAATGATGCAATGAAAGAGGACGCCTTTCTCGCTCGCGCTGGTCGAGGCGCTCGAGCGGATGGCATCGGGCTCCGGCTGTGCCCCGCATGTCTCGCTGTCCAGTGACAGCGCCCTCTGCCACCGCTCGCCTTCTCGCACGCGCTGGCCACATCATACTAGCCGCGTCACCCCTCATTTCCGTTTCGTCGCCCCTCGCCCCTAAAGCCCCTAAAGCCCCTAAAGCCCCTAAAGCCCCTAAAGACCCTAAAGCCCCTAAAGCCCCTAAAGCCCGTAAAACACCTAAAGCCCCTAAAGCCCCTAAAGCCCCTAAAGCCCCTAAAACCCCTAAAGCCCCTAAAGCCCCTAAAGCCCCTAAAGACCTTCACGCGAGTAGGGGGGGGGAGAGGGAGGAGGAAGGAGGGAACGGGCAAGGAGGAGGGAAGGAGACAGACACGAGGAGGAAATGGGAAGGGAGGATGACGAAATGAGGCAATCAGAGAGGAGAGGAAGAGGAAGATGAGGAGTAGAGAACAGAGCGTGTTAGAGTGTTAGAGGAAGGGGGAGAGAAGAGGGAGGAGGGCAGGAGGGGGGAGGAGGAAGAGGGAGGAGGGGAGAGCAGGGGGAGCAGGCTGAAGTCCCAGCTCCGTAGCTGATGGGCTCCAGTTTCGCCTCCCACATCCCGCTGAGCAGCGCCAGAGCCCGGTGCCACTGCCCGCGTCTCTCGCACGCGCTGGCCGGAGCGCTTTAACTGATGACGTCGGGTTCCAGCTTCGCCCCGCCAATCTCGCTGAGCAGCGACAGAGCCCTGAGCCACCGCTCGCCTTCCCCACACGCGCCAGCTACATCGTACTGGTCATTATCATCCTCCTCATCATAACCATCACCACCGCCACCATCATCATGATCATCATCATCATCATCTTCATCATCAGTTTGAGGAGGCTGAGAAGATCTGCTGCCACTGCTCGCCTCTCTCGCACGCGCTGGTCGAAGCGCATTAGCTACGGTGGAGGCATTGGATAAGGAAACCTTGGATAAGGAATCCAGGGTCTGGAAGCCAGTGGAACTCCAATTGTTTTTTTTCTTCGCATTCGCCAGACCGCAGGTCTCGAAAAACCCGGTCTTAAGTAACATTTCCGGCCTGGCCCCTGGGCAATAATTGTCTCGGGTGCTCTTTCGCTGTCCCTGCCACGTGCCTGATAGCGTCTCCGTATTCTTTGGTGGTCGGCTGCCCACGCAGCCCGGCTTTCCTCCATGTCCGGGGGCAGTGGCCATGCGAAGTTGTCGAGGCATCCAGCCGCCGTGGTCGACGTGGAAAAAAAAAAAATGGAACTCCAATTGTGGATCGGCCATGGGTATCGCCACCGCCCTCATCAGATAAGGAATCCTCCAGGGTCTCACGCCTCCTGGGCGCATTCCTTAACCAACGCCCCCACCGTAGGAACGTCGGGCTCCAGCTTCGCCCTGCCAATCTCGCTGAGCCCCCTGCCACGGTTCGTCTTCTTCGCACGTGCCAGCTACATCCTTAATATCCTCCTCCTCCTCTTCCTCCTGCCTCCTGCCTCCTCCTCTTCCTCCTCCTCTTTTTCCTCCTCTTCCTCCTCCTCCCTTTCTCTCTTCGTCCTCCTCTTACTCCTCCGCGTGCCCTGTTTCTAATTACCCCGTCATTTCCCATCCCCCATCTTTCGCCACTCCTCATCCCTCCGGTGAGGTGGGAGGGACAAGGGGGAGCGTTTTTTCCTCGGAGGCCCCAAGGCAGAACGTAACACAAAACTGAACAGATCGAGCGCGATACCGAATGTTGGCCCGGAAACGGCCCTTCAAACCCGAACGCACTGCTGACTAAGACAAGGGGGAGCGTGAAAAGGGAAAGGGGGAGGAGGGAAGGAAGAGGAACGAAGGAAGAGAAGAGAAATGGGGGAGGGAGGAAAACGAAAGGATGAAATCTGAAGAGGACGGAAGAGGAAAATAACAACGAAAAAACTGAGGGTGGAAAGGGGGAGGGAGGGAGAAGTGGAGGAGAGGAAGAGGAGGGAGAAACAGGGGGGAGGGAGGGGGAGGGGACACTGGTTGAGGCCCCTGGGTTCGTAGCCGAGGACTTCCGGCTCCAGCTTCGCATCCCGCATCCCTTACAGCAGCGCCAGGGCATGTTGCCACTGCGCGCCCTTCTCGCACGCTTAGGTGATGACGTCGGGTTCCAGCGTCCACCGCACGTCGCTGACCCACGCCGCGGCCCGCTGCCACTGCTCGCCCTACTCCCACGTGCTGACCCCAATAGCTGATGACGTTAGACCCCGCGCTGGCCCCTCGATGGCTTGAACCACAGAAAGGCTTGAACCAAAATGGCTTGAACCAGAATGGCTTGAATCACAGAGGCTCGGATGCTCGGGCTCGCGTGGCCACCCAAGTGCGCGCGGGCCCCGCACGCGTAACAGTCGACTCCAACACCCAGCCAGAGGGAGAGTGCTGACAAATAACAAGACAGAAGAATGACGCTGGCTGCCGACGGAGGACGATGATAAAAAAAACGTGAGAGGAGCATGGCCGACGCACTGAGCAGCAGCACCGGACTGCGGGAACGATCACCGGTGGATTATGCTAAGATCCGCGCGACGTTTATGATTAAATTGAGGCTCTGACTTTGCGCACATAAAGGGCGCCGGCCTTCAGCGCCGCCTGGACCTCGTCTCGCGTCGGCGGGTCGGAAACCACCACCTCCGTCTTGGCCCCCGAGATCCTGCAGCCGAACGCGGTAAGACCCGCTGCCACCGCGAGCCCCGCCTCCACCAGGTGCTTCGCGATCGCCCGCGGGGCGCGCCCGTAGCAGGCCATGGTCGCGTCGTCGTAGGAAACGGACACGTCGGACTTCAGCTCGCCGCTGCTGCAGGCGCCAAACTCCTCGGAGTGCGCCCTCGCCACCGGTAGCATCGCCGCCTTACGGGTCCTCCCCGCGCACGGGCACCCAGCCACCAGGCCCGCGTCCAGCGCGCGCGCCTCGGCCACGACGGTGCCCACCCGTATGCGTCGGCGCCCGCGGTAGGTCGACATGGCGCAGCGGACCAGTCGGCCATGCAGGCCAGCTCGGCGGGCCAGGCGCTCGGCGCGGGCCAGCCGCACCGTTTCGTACGCATTCCCGAGGTCGATCAGCAGCGCGGCTCCGTATAGCTGCTGTGCCCCTGCCGCCTTGGCGGCCAGCGCGTGGCGCCACGCGGACTCCTGGGCCGAGCGCCCTGGTCCGCCCCAGAAGTCGGCTGCGCCGCAGCCGCGGAGGGAGGCCTCCCAGCGCCGCGCCTCGGCCTGCCTGAGCTTGTTCCAGATCCGCGGGATGCTGGAGAGCAGCCAGATGTTTTTTTTTTTTTTTTTTTTTTTTTTTTCTTTTGTTATTTTTTTTTTTTTTTTTTTTTTTTTTTTTTTTTTTTTTTTTTTTTTTTTCTTTTTTTTTTTTTTTTTTTTTTTTTTTTTTTTTTTTTTTTTTTTTTTTTTTTTTTTTTTTTTTTTTTTTTTTTTTTTTTTTTTTTTTTTTTTTTTTTTAAAAAAAAAAAAAAATTTTTTTTTTTTTTTTTTTTTTTTTTTTTTTTTTTTTTTTTTTTTTTTTTTTTTTTTTTTTTTTTTTTTTTTTTTTTTTTTTTTTTTTTTACTTTTTTTTTTTTTTTCTTTTTTTTTTTTTTTTTTTTTTTATTTTTTTTATTTTTTTTTTTTTTTTTTTTTTTTTTTTTTTTTTTTCTTTTTTTTTTTTTTTTTTTTTCGGCGCCAGGGGCCCCGTGGGCTTGGGCAGCATCACGATGAGCGACGCCCGCGCCGCCAGCGGTCAGCCGCCCCACCCCTCGGCCGCCACGCCGATGTCCACGAAGAGCTCGGCCGTGGCCGTGGACACCTGGGCGAGGGCTCGGGGCGATACGCGGTCGACGCCCACGCCCGTGCGCCTCGCGAAAGATTTGGCGGCGTCCAGCCACTCGTCAGCGGTCGGCCTGGGCAGCGCCTTCGAGTCCGACTGCCTCTCGAAGTCCTGCCACCCGTCCGAGCCGTCGGCCGTGCTCCAGACCTCCTGCGCCAAGGTACCTGTCGATGGCGTCCACCTCGCGCTGGCCCGCTCTCAGGGCGCCCAGCATGTCCAGCTCGTCCTCCTGCCATCCGCGCGGGCCGCGCCGCCATGCGTGGAGCCCGCCTGCGCCGTGCTCGAGCGCCTCCATGATGATGCTGGTGCTGCTGCTGCCGATGATGATGATGATGATGATGATGATGATGATGATGATGATGATGATGATGATGATGATGATGATGATGATGATGATGATGATGGTGGTGATGGTGATGGTGATGGTGATGATGATGACGATTATGATGATGATGATGATGATGATGATGATGATGATGATGATGATGATGATGATGATGATGATGATGATGATGATGATGGTAGTGGTGATGGTGTGTGAGTGTTTGAGAGGGAGAAGGGGTGAGGAGGAGGAATACTGCGCGGGGTGTCCAGAGAAGACAAGAAACCGGCTTAGGGCGTGGGTAACAAAAACTCCATGTAGGACGTGGATAAATAGGACTGAGAGCAAATACTGGGCCACGAAATGCTGGTATCAATACCGCCTCGCGTCACACACTTAAATATTCGAACGGTACGCCGCGGTTGAATATGAATGTATCTTGTTACAGCGGTGGGTCTGTGATACAATAATTATCTCGAGTCTATGCGGCAGAAACAAGTTGTTGATACCCTCTTTACTTCCGCAAGACACCTTGAGGCCAGTCTCTTGTAAGTGAGCCCCGTACAAGACCCAGGAATGTGACCATTACCTGAACAGACGACCCAAAGAGGGCCAACGTGAATCCCTGGGAGTCCTGACAATTCAGAGATTTGCGGATGTCGTGCCGCTTTGCGCCAGACTCTCTTATCCACCTTCTCCTCCGCCTCATCACTAAGATCAGCATTGTCTTTCTCTACCCCGTGCTGCGCCATGTACTTTCTCAGTCGCCTAGAGGTGCCTCTACAACTCCCATGTTTCGGAGGTCAGCGGAATGGCGCGAACCTCTCGAACCAAGTGAAAAGATCCGAATTTGAAACAACAAGCAAAGTGAGGCAATGCGGCCCCATTGCTTGAAATAATGTGCAGTGGCCACGGGTATTCATCAGAAGGCACAAAGGTTGACTTCGCCCAGGCTTCCAAGCGGCTGGCGCGAAGCATCACGGTCATCATCGCTGTCGGGTGCGGGGATAGAAAGGGTCTCGTCGTCTCATGTCAAGTTCCTGCCCAGCCTTCGCACCCTTGACCCACCAGCCTTGCGCCTCCACTTTTCGCACGACACATAAACCAGTCCTTCACTGCACGAAGACCCAACCAAAGTCACCCACCGAGCCGAAATCCACAGCGCGCTAAGTCACCCAGTCTCTATTCCAACGCAGCTGTTCGAGAGGGGCGCTCCCCTGCTTCCCTCACACATGTCGTGGTCGCGGCACTCGGCGAACGCAACAACCAGGACACCACCATGGGCTGGGGCGAGACGCGCTCACGAAGCAAGCAGCTGGAACACAATGAGAGGGGAGGAGGAGGACGAGGGGGGGAGGAGGATGAGAAGGAGGAGGAGGAGGAGGAGGTGGAGGAGGAGGAGGCGAGGGGAGGGGAAGGAGGCGGGGGGAGGGGGAGGAGGCGGAGGTGGAGGAGTGGAGGAGGAGGAGGAGAGGAGGAGGAGAGGAAGGAGGAGGAGGAGGATGGGCACGGCCCCCCCCCTCCCCCCACGAGGTGCCGCCCCACCCCCCTTGCGGGTGAGGAGTGGCGTGCTGTGGCGGCGCGGCGGCAGGCACGGGGGGGAAGCGCGAGGGGGCGGGCCCTCTCGGGGGGCTCGGACGCCCCCGACTTCTGAGGTGTGCTCCGAGCCTTCCCCGGGCACAAGAAGGCCCCCCAGGACGCCAGAGGAGTGAGAACCCCCGCCGCCTCTGGACAGAAGCTTGGCCCCTCTCACTTCCCCCCTCGATCGCCGCCGAAGTGGTGGCGGGGAGAGTGAACCGGCGAAGGACGGTATGAAATCCGCCGACCCTGTCGGCGTGTGTGAGGGGCTTTTCCGTTCGAGACGTCATCCCCGTTGTTCGTTGGTCGTCGTCTCTGTCGTCCCCCTTCCTTGCGCCTCCCTTTCCGTGGGCCCGTCGCCACTCCCGTTCTCTTTCCCAGCAGGGGCCCCTGCTCAAGCGCGCCAGCCCAAATGAACTTCAACAACGTCGTATTTGAGTCGAAGGGAAGCCCCTTCCCTTTGATCCCTCCCCCGCCGGGAGGGGGGGGGGGTAGCGGGGGGGTCCCGGGGGGGGGTCCCGGGGGGGGGGCGCCACTCAGATACGACGCCCCCCCCGCAAGTACTGCACGTAGGGATTCTTTATTGTTTCGGAGCCGCGCCCGAGCCACCCGAGCCGCCGCCGAGCCGCGCCCGAGCCGCGCCCGACGCCTCCCTCCTCCCTCCTCTCCCTCCTCTCCCTCCTCTCCCTCCTCTCCCTCCTCCGCCCCCTCGACCACGACGACGACGACGACGACGACGACGACGACGACGACGACGACGACGACGACGACGACGACGACGACGACGACCCGAGCGCACGGACCCGACACGAGACCCCCAAGAGGCCCCCAGGAAGCCCCAAGAGGCCCCCCCCGCCGCATACGAGAACGCATGGGTCGCCCTCCAGGGTCGGCGGCACCGGCCGTAAGGCCTTCGCAATAGTTTGTTCGTCGCCGGGGACGCCTGCCCCAGGGCGACTGGGAAGTTTATACCCTGCTGGCAGAAAAAATGATGTTATACCGTTCTCCGCCCACTAAGGGAGAGGGGGCGGGGGGCGTGCGTGCAGGCACGCGTGCACGACCTCGCGTTTGCTCGCGGCCGTGCGCGCGCGCGCGCGCCCGCGCCCCAGCCCCTCCAGGGCTTCCGCCGGCGCGCAAGACCCGGGCCCCTCCAGACCTCCAGAAGTCAAGGGGCCTGGGGACACACAGATAAATACACACAAATCCCCAGATCCCCTGTATATTTCCATATGTTTTGGGTTTTCGTCGCCCTCCCTCCCCCGCTTCCCATGCATACTTTTCCCTGTTTTCCGGGTGTCGGTGATTAGTTGTGTCTGCGTGTTTTTCCCCCTCCTAGAGAAGACCTGCCCCCGGACCCGCTCGTCGGCCCGAGCTGTTCCCCGACCGCCCCCTGGACCCCCGGGGCCCCTGGAGGGGCCCCCAGGGGGCCGAGAGGACGGCGACTGACCTCAGGGCCCGTCTCGTTCGGGTGCGCCCATAAGATGGGGGCGTCCAAAAGGGGGGGGCCGAGGAGGAGGAGGGGGAGGAGGAGGAGGATGCGATATCAGGTCAAATATCTCGTCTGCCATCAAGATCACATACTGTGACAATCCTGCGAGTATACACCATGTGTGACCCATCGTGCGCTATGTAAACGAGTGAACGATGGCCCCCTCCATGGGGGCGAGCCCGAAGTTGCCCATGCTCAACCACGGTTCACGGCGAGCGACACCTCGGAATTAGCACACAAGATAAATCCCCAGGAGCCCGAGGACGGGGGACAAGCCATTGTCCGAGGACCAAAAGAAAATGGACCAAGAATCATACACGGGTCGCATAAGCGGCCAGATCTTTAAAGGGCAAAGCTGAAGACGAGGACGAGCAAGGAGGAACGCTCGAACAAGGAGGAGAGGAGAGGACAGCCGTAGCAGCAGCACAACGGGCGGCCTCCTGGAAGGCGGGCGCAACGAGACCCCCGACCTCATTCGACCCAGCAACTCTTGTCGACACGGTCGTCTGCCTCACAATCGCCTGTCTCTGCAAGGCTGATCTGGCCCTCCGCGACGCCGTCAAGGACACTTTCCCACTCGGCGCCGCCGAGGCAGACCTGGCCACGAATGAAGACCTGGCAACCAACGACCCCCATCTCGCCAACTGCGGTGCACACGAATACCCACACTCGACGTTAAACAAAATCCGATTTCAAGCCCAGGGGGCTGCCCATCGTTAACCGACGGAGAAATCGGCGATGCAGCAGCAGAGAGAAGCTATTGCACCTCGCCGCGCCTCACGATACCCAACCTATCCGGGGCGCTGCGCCCCCAAGAATCCGCGGCATCAGCAGCGCCAGGTCTGACCGCACGCGATGCCATCTCCATCCTGCTGCAGAACGCCAGAGCTCACCTCTGACGAGCCACTCTGCCGAGCCAGGCGCCGCGAAATCTCGAACTCGTCGAGCGCGACCTGAAGGGCCCCCCCCCCTCTCCGCGCGCGACCTCGGAGACATGCCCGGGCGAACTCCCCGCCGAGTTGCACGGCGCACTCTTGCAACGCACGAGCCATCTGCCGGTCGGGCAGACCGAAGACCATCTTGGCGAGCCCCCCTTGAACGCGCTGGACAAACAGAACCCCTTGACCGGCGTAGTCAGGTCAGCGATCGCGCTCACGCCGTCGAGCAAGGCCTGGCGAACCAGCCAGGACCTCGCGCTGGCCAGGCCGACCTCGTCGCCCGCTTCTGACACCTTCTTCGCCACCACCAGAAAGACCCGCGCGCGCGCGCGCTGGGCCCATCGTCGCCTCTGGCAGCGCCTCGCCGTCCGGGTCGGCCTCATGGTCGGTCCTCATCCTCACGGCCCCCGCCGCGCACGCTCGCCCTGCCTGAATCCCGCTCGAATCAGGTCGTCCTCTGCAATCATCGCCATCGTCGCGAACTCCGCCACCGCGCGCACCCCCGTCGCGAAGGATTTGCTCAGCACGGTTTCATCGCGACTGGATGCAACTCGGCGCGCACATGAGCACGCGCGGCGGGCAGCTTGTCCAGCGAGCCCGCCAGAACCCCGCAAGACGTGCCGACATCCGCAGCGAGGTCCCCCCCCAAGGCCCGGGCCCGGGCCCCGCCGCGGAGCCCCGCCGCGCGGCTGCGGCGACGGCCGCGCACCTCCGCGGCGGCGCCGCCGCGGACGCTCACTGACCATGCCCCCCACACCGGCGGCGATCTCCACGAGGGCGGGAAGCGGATCCCGAGCCAGAGCGGCCCCCGCGGAAACCTCGCCCTCCGCGCGACCTCGAGCGCCCCGCCGCCACCGCGAGCCGCTCGGCCCGAGCGGGGCCCGAGGCGCGCGAGAGCGATGGCGGCGATCCAACGCAGCTGGGCCCGGAAAAGGCTCGGCACGGCCACGAACGAAGGTCGCGGAACATCGGTCGCGCCTCACCGCAAAGACGGGGGCGAGAGCCACTTCAGCCACGGGGCAATACAGGCGCTCGGGCCCCAGGGCGCGGCGAAAGAAAGGCGCGACGTTATGGGGGCGCCTACCTTTGAACACCTCGCGGGCCGCGCGTTCTCGGACAATTCGTCGAGTCGGAAACACTTGACGGCAAAAGATACACTCACTCGCGATCTCGACGGCGCGCGCGAATGACCGACGCGAGCGCCCCCCGCCCGCCCGGAAGCGCCGATGGGCAAGTAGAGCACGACGGGGGCAAGAGGCCCCCCCACAGGGCCGCCTCTCGGAGTTCACCAGGTCGCAACGCCAAACAGCAGCAGGTGGCGGGGGGGAGCCAAGATCACCTCCAGGAGCCTCAGGAGCGCCGGGCGGCCCGCATGGCCCCGCAGGCGGCGGCGCGGCAACATTTTTTGCGGCGCCCCGTTTGATCCAAGGACCCGGGGCCAGGAAATGCCCCGCAAGGTCCCCGCCCACGAAGAGGGCCCAGACACGCATCTAAATCACAAGATCCTCGGAGGGCCCCACGACAAGCCAGGACTCGAGCAGCTCGGCCTCAGACTTTTGGACAAGAAACAGGACATCAGACGCGAAGCGCTAAGCGCGAGAACCGGCGCGCTGGCCAATCCAACTCTGATCACGCAACGCGGGATGACTCCCGATTGGCAACATCCCAAAGATCACACCAAGTTCCGGCGGGTGGCTCTCTGGGCTGCGGATCCAACGCTAGCGCTGCCCTAGTCCGCGCGCCCTCAGCTCCGCCCCCAACGGGGCCACCCCGACGCGACGAAACACAACTGCGTCGGTGAGCGCACGACACCGCGGAATCGGCTCTCCAATATCATCAAGAAGCGGCTGGCCTCCATCATCCTTCTCATCCACATTCACACGCGCATCTCCTCCTCGACGCCTTCGGGCAAAACCAGAAACTACTCTATATTTTCCAAGTCCCTGAAGGCCCGGCAACGCCGGCGTCGCCAGGCCAGGGAGCAAAGCACTCTGAACGACAAACCTCGAAGACAATACTTGCGAACCTCCAAACTCTATTGTTGGCCCAACTTGCCCATGGAGAAATACACCCTCCAACGCGCCATGATGAGCCTCTGGGGCCCCCCCAATGGCCCCCCCACCCGCAGGCGTCTGAAAGCCCAGCGCAGCGTCGTCGCACTGAACCTACCCAGGGAGACGGATGCATCCCCGAACGCAGCAGCACTGCGAGCCTTCCCTCCTGGACCGATGAACGACGGCGAGATGCGACTGCCCTCGGCATCGCGAGAAGATCCACCCCCTGATCGAGTCTCCCAGGCGCACGCGCGCCTGCTCAGGCGTGAACTGGGCGTTGTTTTTGCCCCGGTCACCACGCGTGACCCGCCGGCGTCGTCGGCGCACGCCCGACGCGACAAAACCGCCAGGCGCCGCGGGGCAGGCGCCCACGACGCGCACGCGCCCTCGCTAGGCCACAAGATGCAGTCAGGATCAGCAGGAGGCGAAGGTGAAATCTGCTCCTGCTCTAACTGCTCAGCGCAGTCCGCGGGACGAGGAGGGCCATCGCCATGCCGAATCCGGGAGCGCGACTTATCAGGCCACGCCTGCGCGGGAAGACGACAGGCGCGCGAGAAGAACGCGGCAGCGGGACCGTCGCCCACGAAGGCCCCGCACCGGCTGCGCATCGTCCGCCCCCCGTCGGCGCCGACGATCGCGAGCGCGCCAGCTGACGAAAGTAGCGCTGCGAGTCTCCCCGGATCGAAACTGCCATGGTCGCGCGAAGCGTCGACAAGGTCGAGAAGCCGAACGCACACGCCACGCCCTCTTTGGCCATGACCAACGGGGCCCCCAACGAACGCAAGCGCCAACGCAGCGCCCCCTGACAAGCGAGCGCACCTTCGCGGCACCTGCCGCGGTGATAGCCGCGCCCACGATCAGGCACAACGCCAGCTGGCCCTCAGCGAAGTTGAGCCTTGTGCCACAACGCCCCCATGCGACACTGCCCATGAATATATCGCCTCGACGAGAAACTCCCCGTGCCATCGCGACTGTCCAGACCAGTAACCCGCGAATGATGCCACGCCGCAGGCGCCCGTTGAGTCCGACGAATACGATGGGGGACTTTCAAGGCCTTGAAGCTGAACTCGTTCGGGGCGGAGGCGACCATCTCCGAGCCGAGACCCCGCCGATCTCCAGCGAGCCGACGCCGAGGAGCAAACTCAGCACGAGGGCGCGGAACAAGCACTTCCCCATCGTCGCCGAGGCTAGGCCGTCGTCGAGGCCTGCGGCGCGACCCGTCGAACCCCCGAGCCGGGTCGAGCACGAGCACGATCAGCTCCGAGGGGGTCGAGTGCAACGGCGCCGCCTTGCGCCGATGCGCCCGCGCCACCAGCCTCGAGCTCGTCGCGGCCAAGCTCCACGCGCCTGAGATTGCCACTGCCGAAAGACGGGGGCCTCGGCAGATCCCCCGGCAACCGCCGTTGGCAGTCGTCGAACTCCACGGCCCCGGCCGAGAAACCACCCTCAGCTCCGGGACGCCTGGAGTAGTCCTTGATATCCTCCGCCCCTGGGGCGCGCGATTCAGCGACATTGAACCCGCGCCGCTCGGGGCCACTGCGCTTCTCCGCACGAAGTCGCGCGAGTCCCCAAACCTCAGCGCGTCGCCGACAACGCCAGGCATCGCCCATCTCGTCGGCCAACTGCTCCGTCACCGCGCCCTGGCGCGCACGCCGGAGATGTCTCAACTTCCGACTGCGCCTCGCGAGCAGCAGGCCCGACTCGAAGTCGCCGGCCCCCTCACGCCGCGCGCGCCGACGACCACGCGGAAAGTGCCTACGAAGACGCTGACACTCCTGCACCATCGGGTCGCGCGCGCACCCTCGGGCGAAGTGGCGCTCCGCCGGCGAGTGCACCGCAATCAGCCAGCTCTCCCATCTGCAATATGGAGCATTCTCATGTAGCAGAAGATCATGATTGTCGGGACCACGACTGAACTGGGCCTCCAAATCCGCCAAGAACTCAGGCACCGCCACTCTTCCCCAACGCACTCGCCAAGCGATCGAAGCCCCAACGAGTCGAAGACGGCCAGGAAAAGCTGAGATCGAAGCTGTAATCGAGCTTGAGAAAACGGGGAGCATGGTCTCGCAGCCCTTGCCGCCCGCGCAACTTCAGCCCCAGGCTGGACCTGCGCAGCGCAGCACAGTAAGTAGCCGACGCCCGCAACGCGGTCGATGCCACTGAACGAGTGGGCCCCGCAAAGAATCGTCGCCGATGTTGTAGGCCGAGGTCGCCACAGCCACCGCGCGCCTCTCCATGAGTCCCAGCATCTGGTCAGCCGCATGGTGCTGCTCCCCCTTGGGAAAGGGGCCCATTTCAGGTGAGCGCACCCAGTCAGCAGTGCCACCCTGGCGAGGGCTCCAGCCGAACGAGTCGTTCAGATCGAACCCCGTCAGCAGCGAAGAGCGGCGCTTGGACCGCGCCAGCACTTTCTCTAACCAGCGGCACATCAGATCGACAGTCAAGCGGTGACGCGCCTCATTCAGCTGAGACTCGAGACCCTCTCGACGCGCCCTCGGCCGCGGGGGGAAGTGCAGCGCGGGGGTCAGCACGGCTGAGCGGCCAGATCTCAATCGAAACACTGCGACGCGTCTTTGCAGGGCAGCTCGGGCAGCGGAGACGCCCACCACGTCACGCCGCATGAACACCCTCTTGCGCGGCAACAAAGCAACGCCACGGGATGTGTCGACGCGCCGTCCACATGCGAACCCGCACCGCACTACGAAGTCAGATCTCAAGTCCGAGTACGTCGCCAAGCGGTCGGGTGCCGCTCCCTCCCCAGTGCTTGTCACAGCGACGATGACCGTCATTCTTATTCAATCCGAAATAGCACGGAATCGCTCGATGCCCGTGCTCTGGCAGTTCCAGTGCACATACGTGCACACGCCTAGCACGAAGCGCACAAGAAGAAGTGACAACATCAAATGAAGTAAGGTGCGTGCGCGCGTGAGGGCGAACCTGGGGGGAGCGGCGACAGCGAAAGGTGTATGCCTCGGTCTCGGTGCCCGCCAGCCCCTTGAGCTGCAATATCCAGAACATGGGGGGCGAGGAGGAGGAGGAGGAGGAGGAGGAGGAGGTCGAGGAGGAGGAGGAGGAGGAGAGGAGGAGGAAGAGAACGAGGAGGAGTAGAAGGCGAGGGGGAGGAGGGGGAGGCGGAGGAGGAGGAAGAGGAGGAGGAGGAGCAGGAGGAGGAGGAGGAGGAGGGAGGGAAGAGGAAGGAGGAAGGAGGAGTGGAGGAGGGAGGAGGAAGGAGGAGAGGGGAGGAGGGGGAGGACAGGAGGAGGAGGGAGGAAGAGGAGGGGGAGGAGGACGAGGCGGAGGAAGAGGGAGCAGGAGGAGTGGAGGAGGAGGAGGAGGACGAGGAACGAAAAAAAAAGCGCCAGGGGTATTTCCTCGATTTCTTCCTCCAGGGGCCCGCTTCGGGCCTCGGGGCCGTCCAGCATCGACCCTGGGTGAGAGCCGCCCAGGATGGGCCCCAGGAGGGGGGCGAGGACCTGTTTTGATCAAATCTTGGCTTCCTGGTCGTGCTTCGCCTTCCTGGGGTGGAGAAGTGGACAGCCCTGCTTCGGCGGATGTCGGCGGAGGGCCGAAGGCCAGCGGAAGCTGACGTCGGCTCCGATGGCGGAAGCTGGCGGAAGGCCGGCAGAAGCCGGCGGAAGCGGAGGGTGCATCTCCAAGATATCGGAGGATGCCAAGTCCGTGCGGAGCAAGTCCGCACGGAGTGTTCGGTCTCCGTCTGGGCCTACTCCGTCTGGACTTGAGCGTCTCCTGATAGGTTGCCGAGCCCGCGCGGAGTAGTTCCGCACGGAATGCTCGGCCTCCGTCTGGGCCTGCTCCGCCTGGCCTTTGTCGCCGCGCCTTCTGCTCTGACGTGCGGCCTGATGCCTCGGGGAGGGCACCTCGGCCACCAGGGCAGGCGCCGCCTCGGACGCGGTGGGTTCGCCTGGGGCCTGCCGCGGTGCCGGCGTCGTCTCCTCGGGCGCGGGGCGCAGGGCTCGCCGCGGGTCTGCCGTGATGCCAGCGATGCTCCACTTGGGCGCGTCGAGACCGCACGTGCACAGGGCTTCTGTGCGCGTGCAGCGGTGCCACTGGGCTCTGTCTGCGCAGGGCGACGAGATCTATACATATCCACTGCTCCTGGCCAGTTCCATCCTGGGCCCAGGAGCGGTGTATGCGCCCTCCTGGCTTGGCTCGGGAGGCATATACACCGCTCCTGGGCCCAGGATGGACCTGGCCAGGAGCAGTGGATATGTATAGGGCTCGTCGCCCTGTCTGCGCTTCTCAAAAAATTGGCGTGCAGCGAGCGCCCTCCGAGAGGAGGCGCTTCGGCGCGTGCCGCGGCCGGCCTCGCAGGGGCGGCCGTTCGGTAGCGAATCACGGGAGCCTGGCGTACCCTCTCGGTTTCTGTCTTTCGTGTCGGCTCGCGTCGAATTGCGCCTGGAGTCGATGAGCTAGCGCCGACTCGGAGTCGGCCAGCGTCGACGATCGTCGATCTGGCGTCGGTCTAGCGTCGATGTAGCGTCGGTCAGCGTCGGTTCGCAAGTGCCGACGAGCGGGTATGGGAGGCCCCCCAAGAGTTGCCACCGAACGGTCGGAGAGATGTGAGCGACGACGAAAAGAAACGGATCTTGCGCACGATGGCATGGCGACCTTACGCGGTTCCTTCGCCTGCCACTGGGGCTCTGCCTTTCGGGGGTCCGGAAGAGGTAAGCTCAAGTCCACTGAGTTTCCTTACTCGGGGTCGTACGTTTATCAAAAGCGATGCCTTCCTTGTTTTTGTCCAGGGCAATTCCTTTGGAAATACTAGGCCCGGGCCTGCATTCTTCTCAGAAGAACAGTTTTCCTTAGTTTGCCCTTCGCTGACTCTGACCCCCAAAACTATTAGCAGGCGAACGAGCGGCGATTTACGCGGGCCGCCTGCGCGGCAAGCTACATTGGGAGCGAGGGCGCTTTCGCGTGACCTTACGTGGGCGGCTTACGCGCCCATGCTGTTGAAGACGAACCCGCTTTTTAAGACGCCCGAAACGGGTATGGAAAAAAGATGGTACAATGCCGAACAGCAAGTGTTGTCCCAAACCAACAGCGGCCGCTGCTGGGCAGGCGGCCGTCGGTCTCGAATGGACGCCGTCCGCGGCGAGGCCGACAGCGAGTCCTGCTCAGAACGAGCAGGAATTGCTGTCGGTCTTGGCACCCATTCTTTCCGTAATGCGGGATGACGATGAATAAAAAAATGGGAGAGAACGCTTAAAAACAAGTTTTCTGCTATTTCTGCACAATTTTCTGACTGGAGGAGAACGAAAAAAAATAGTTTTCCAGCCCGCGGCCGTTTTTTCTAATCGTCATCCCGGGCGCCGCCGCGTGAACACGACCTCCGGTCATTTACTAATCGTCATCCTCCATTACCCATTTCGATCGTCCCGAGCTTTCCGTCGTCGCGCAGGTGCCGAGGGAGAGCCTGGCGCTGGGCCGCATCACTTGCTGAGCGATGGCTGCCAGCTCGCGGAGGCGTCGCCTGCGGCGCGGAGAGAGGCGCGCCCGGACGCGCCAGGAAGGGCGGGGAGGCAGATCGAACAGCCTCGTCCACTCGGGAGCGGCCAAAAGGCGGGGGTCCAAGAGGGGGGGGGGTGCAAATCATGACCGGCGGCACGTGCGCGGCCCAGCGGGGGGGCCAGGGACGTAATGAAATAAGAAGAGGCGCCCTGAGATCTGGGGAAATACCATGGCCCACGCCATGATATCCACCCCCCCTAGTCATCACCCCCTTCTTTTTTCCGCCCCCGGTCCACGGGCCCGCGACCCCCGAGGCGGCCCGGGGCGCTGCCTTTTCGTGCCGCGCCCGGCGTCTCTTCGCCCTCTCCCCAGGCCCCAGGACCATCTCATCAGATCGGCCAGGCCCGAGAGGTGCCCAAAGGTCACTCCGGCGAAAGGTCACTCTTATACGTCTAGCCGACCCACGATCCCCCGAGGCCCGGGGCGCTGCCTTTTTGTTCCGCGCCCGGCGTCTCTTCGCCCTCGCCCCAGGCCCCAGGACCATCTCATTTTTTTTGCGTTTGAGGGAGAAGATGGGAGCGCACACGGTGACGTTTGAAACACCTGTGGATCAAGAATAACGGACCGAATTTCCGCCCCGTAGCAGCCGGACGTAGAAATCAACTTCGGGCCGAGTCAGGCCCCAGGACCATCATAGGGCTACGAGATCTATACATATCCACTGCTCCTGGCCAGGCCCATCCTGGGCCCGGGAGCGGTGCATACGCCCTCGTGGCCTAGCCAGGGGGACATATACACCGCTCCTGGACCCAGGATGGGCTTGGCCAGGAGCAGTGGATATGTATAGATCTCGTCGCCCTACATCACCGATCGGCGGGGCCCGAGAGGTGCCGCAGGAGGCAGCCGAGGTCCCGGGGCCTCGGCCGGGGGGTGCCGCTGGTGTCTCGCGGCTCCTCCGCAGATGTCGGGCCTCAGGGCCTCGCCTCCCCCCATGGAGGCACCCAGCGAGGCACCCGCTCCGAGCCCGGGGATCCCAGGGGTGGGTGCACACACACACACGCACACACACACACACACAAACACACACACACACACACACACATACTCCAGATTTCGTAATAAAGGGAGGGGGGTCTCATTTCGGGGGGGGGTCTCTTCCAGGCCATCTTGGAGGGCCTGGGGGGTCTGGGGACGATGTTTGGGAGGGCTCTCCCACGGGGGAGGTCTGAAATGGCTTGTCTTGGAGGGTCCAGACCCCCTCCCTTTTATTACGAAATCTGGAGTACACACACACTCCTGGCGTGGTCACGCAGGGCACCGATCACGCGTCCAGGATTTGGCCTGGCCAGGAGCGGTGGGGGGGAACGCACCAAGACGTACTGATTCTGTCATCCTTGGAGGCGCGCGTGCGGCCCGGACATATCTACCCATCTTGTAGTAGATTGTTTCCCGAGCGGTGTGGCCAGAAAGCGCCAGCCACGACGCATATACTGTAAGATTTCTCGGTGCGCGCGTCGCCCCTGGGGGGGCGACGCATACACACACACACGCGCACACACATAGTATTAGCATGTTGGGGTGACGCCGAGCAGCGAGCCTCGAGCTCAGCCCTATCCCTGAGACTGACGGGCCCGGGGCGGTGGCAATTTTCAGGCATGCGCCCCCGGAAACGGAGGGGCACTGGGGTAGGGCGATGCTACTCCAGATTTCGTAATAAAAGAGAGGGGGTCTGGACCCTCCATGACAAGCCATTTCAGACCTCCCCCGTGGGAGAACCCTCCAAAACATCGTCCCCAGACCCCCCAGGCCCTCCAAGATAGCCTGGAAGAGACCCCCCCCGAAATGAGACCCCCCTCCCTTTACTACGAAATCTGGAGTAATCGTAGCGGGCAGGGGTATGCCTCCGGCTGGTGAAGGAGCGGTCCGAGCAGTGCGGCTCCGGCGCTGGCGACCGACGCGCACACAGTCCGGCAAGCAAGACGCACGGCTCCCGCCATGGCCGGTGCCACTCGGGACGAGCACACCGTGGTCTGAGAAGCACCTGCGACTGATCAAGCGACGGGTGGGCTGAATACATGACCTGCCCACTACAGTAGAAGTGCACGCTGGGCAGTGCCGACTCTGCTCAGGAAAGGAAAGCTGGCGAATGCGGCGGGTTCGTGTCGTGACGCCGTCGACGGTGGTTTCTGGCTCCACGCGGATCGTTCAACCTTGACCGATCGCAACTTTTCGACAGCGCAGATCATTCCATTCCATATCGGTTGATTCTGGACCACTGGCGGCGTTCAACGTTGAACGACCCCACAAAAGGTCGCCACCGCCGCGTCAACACGGCACGAGTCGCAATCGCTTCTCATGAATAAAAGACAGCCGAGCGGGTCGTAGTAGCTTACTAGGGGGCACATGATGAGAATGCAAGGAGCGAATATTGCGCACGTTGAAAACAAGCAAAATGCACGGCAAGCGTGAGAGCATCACATCAAGAACTAGGAGCGCGAGATAGTTCGCGAGTAAACTATGAGTGCCCCAATCGCGCACGCAATCAACACGACGTGGGCCGGCTACGAAGACTTCTCAAGGACTATGCATCAAGTGTGGAACCTCGATCCCGATGCAGCTCTGCATGCCGAAAGGTTGGACTGGCCAGCCTTGCGTATGGGTCCACGGTGCGCGATTTCCGAAGCGCCCGTGGCCTGCCCACCAAAAGTTCGAAACGTGCTGTCCCCACAGCTTGATATTCGGCCCATGGGCTTCGACC